CTCCGCCTCCTGGGTTCAGGCAATTCTCCTGCCTCAGCCTCCTGAGTAGCTGGGACTACAGGCACGCGCCACCATGCCCAGCTAATTTTTTGTAGTTTTAGTAGAGACGGGATTTCACCATGTTGACCAGGATGGTCTTGATCTCTTGACCTCGTGATCCACCCGCCTCGGCCTCCCAAAGTGCTGGGATTACAGCCTTGAGCCACCACGCCCGGCCAACCCAGCCCAATTTTTAAATTTTTTGTAGAGATAGGGGTTTCATTATGTTGCCCAGACTGGTCTCAAACTCCTGGGCTCAAGCAGTCCTTCCACCTTGGCCTCCCAAAGTGCTAGGATTACAGGTGAGAACCACCATACCTGGCGAAGAACCAGTGTTTTATTCATGCTATAGTGCCAACACCTGGAATAGCTTCTCTTTATAGAAAATATTAATAGATGGTCAACAATAGGTTCTTCTCTTTTCTTCCCTTAAGTAACATGGCTAGAGTTCTATAGTTAGAAAGTGACAGAGTTGTGTTGTGTGTTAACTAAAGACTAAATCTAAAGCCTATGCCCTTTCCTCAATGCCATGTTACTCTTCAACCCAGACAGATGCCACCACTTTCACTGGTGACCTGGAGTTGAGATTCAGGAAAATAAAACACACACACACACACACACACACACACACACACACACACACTGACCTGTGCAGTGACTGGTGGCGCATGCGCGCGCACACACACACACACACGCACACACACACACACACACGCATACACACACTGACCTGTGCAGTGACTGGTGGCCCAGCAAATAGGGCCTTGTATGCAGAGGCAGCAACAGACAAAGCCCCCTTCACCAGTCCTCCAGCAATGCTGCTCCCATGGTGATGCCTGTAGAAGAAACCAATTATCCCCCCAAATAAACACAAATCATTACCTTTTTACAAGATAATCTAGGCTGTATTCCTTGGAAGAAAGTAAGATTTCCTCAAAAGAAAAAAATCAGATGTAAAAAGAGAACATGATTGCTTTTGTATCACCTTTATATCTACGGATCATGGTTTGATGGAGGGCCCAGCTCTACTGGTGCAAGATATGGGCACTGTAGGAAACATACGACTCTGGTAACCATGATGGCTCTCACTCCTAGCTGAAAATTAATGTGATCAAGGGCACTCCAGGATATCCACAGTTTGCTCAATTATTCTCTCAGAGAAAACACCTTGCACAGGAAATGTGATTTTTCTGGACACTGTTCTAAAGTGAGTGGGAGCAAAGAAGCAGGTATGTCTAAGAAAAAATTACTAGATGTATATTGGGTGTAACCTTTCTGTCTTCTCCCCTGGTGCTAAGGGTGAGTAAATGTGGGGGCATTCCTTTCTTCTCTGGAACACAGAACATTCTTTTTTCTTTTTTTTTTGAGATGGAGTTTTGCTCGTTGGCCAGGCTGGAGTGCAATGGCATAATCTTGGCTCACTGCAACCTCCGTTTCCTGGGTTCAAGCAATTCTCCCGCCTCAGCCTCCCAATTAGCTGGGATTACAGGCGCCTGCCACCGCGCCCAGCTAATTTTTGTATTTTTAGTAGAGATGGGGTTTTGCTATGTTGACCAGGCTAGTCTCGAACTCCTGACCTCAGGTGATCCACCCGCCTGAGCCTCCCAAATAGAACACTCTTAAACATCAGCTTTTGCCCTTTGTTCAGTGTTGTTCAAAGGGTTTAGAAGAAATAAGGACAAGAAGGAATAAGGGCTCCCCTTCTCTGCTCTCTGAAGATGGGGACATGCTGTGAGAGGCTCTTTTAAGCAGAAGCAATACTAGGATATCCACCTGCTTCTGAAAAAGAGACTGCACAAGGTTGTTACCTTGAGTGGTCATAGCTCTTCTGTCTGCTGTTTATAAGTCCTGATGAGCCTCTGGGCTCTAAAAGCAAAAGAGCTGTTGGTTAGATGCAGCATCCATAAGCACCTAGTGTTCCCTAACTCACAGCAAGGCTATGACTGAGGCAGGTGGCAATCTGATCACAGTGTTTGAAGTCTTTTTTGTTTTCTAAGTATTTAGGAAGTTTTAAGGGTAGCTTAAGTGATAAGGAGAAACTGTCCAGAATTGTAATGCAAGATGACTGTTAATTCAACCAGAAAAAATAACTCTATAATCCTAACAAACTCATATATTTTGTAGTAAGGAACACAGACTCACACCCATTATAAACCTGTTGAACTGCTAGTCAGGAAAAGTGGAGACGGAGCTGGAACCTAGAGTAGTATGGCTCCAAAGCCTGTGTTCTTTCCACTACCTCTAAGAGGTCTAACAATATAGTTAGCCAGAGAATAGAAGTAAAGGTATGCAGGAGGAGCATGGAGAGAATGAAGGGCAAGTTTCTAAAAACCGCCACAAATCACCAAGAGAGAGCCTATTTATACCTGGTTTCCATTAGACAGGAGCAGAGAAAAAGAAAAAGCTCAGGCTGATCATTACCTCCTCTGATCTGATCAGGGACTGAAGAAGCTTCTGGTATGTTAACTGGTAAATCCATTCCTGGGGAACCATGATGATGTACACAAGGAGGGCTCCTTTCAGAAAGACACAATATGGAAAGTAAATTGAAAAGGCACTTAAGGCAACAGTGGAGAAATAGTAAACACAGCACAGCAGTGCCAAATTCTCTAGAGGCTTCATATTTCTGATCCAGATCACATGTCTGGATTTAGGGTTCCATCGTTAAGAGCTACATTCTAATCGTTAAGAGCTACATTCTACCCTGTTTTCCTATGCAGCCACAGCCAAGCTGGAAATGTTGGCTTCAGTCTGGTCATGTCTCCACCTACATCAATTGGTGTTAATAAATGGAAATGTCTAGCTTTTGGGGAGAATAGTTTATGTTATAGTCAAGGCTTCAGCATTTTCCCTACTATTAGGAGACAAGAATGATTCAGAGAGATTCACCAGAGAATTAAAAATAATTTTTTTTAAAAATCAGCCCCATAAAAACAGGGCCTCAAAAAATTGGATTAAGACTCAGAATTCGGCCGGGCGCGGTGGCTCAAGCCTGTAATCCCAGCACTGTGGGAAGCCGAGGCGGGTGGATCATGAGGTCAAGAGATCGAGACCATCCTGGTCAACATGGTGAAACCCCATCTCTACTAAAAATACAAAAAATTAGCTGGGCATGGTGGTGCGTGCCTGTAGTCCCAGCTGCTCAGGAGGCTGAGGCAGGAGAATTGCCTGAACCCAGGAGGCGGAGGTTGCGGTGAGCCGAGATCACGCCATTGCACTCCAGCCTGGGTAACAAGAGTGAAACTCCGTCTCAAAAAAAAAAAAAAAAGACTCAGAATTGTTCCTCTCTACAGAAATCTTTAGTAAAAGGCAAAAGATTTATACAATTTGAAGAGAAACCAGAGTATTGTTTGGTTTTTTAGTGTTTTTTCCCATAATGGATTTAACTTCCTAATTATGGCTGTTTTTTGAGATGGAGTTTTGATCCATCTCAAAAACTCGGTTGAGTTTTTGCTGCCTTTACTGAAGAGTCAATAAAACAAGGAGGGAAGGTACAGGAATGTTTGTGTTTAAAAACTGGCTCTTGGGGCCGGGTGTGGTGGCTCACACCTGTAATCCTAGCACTTTGGAAGGCTGGGGCAGGTGGATCACCTGAGATCAGGAGTTCGAGACCAACCTGGCCAACATGGTGAAACCTCATCTCTATTAAAATACAAAAAATTAGCTAGGTGTAGTGGTCAGGAGGCTGAGGCAGGAGAATCACTTGAACCCGGGAGGCAGAGGTTGCAGTGAGCTGAGACTGTGTCATCGCACTCCAGCCTGGGTGACCATGTGAGACCAAAAAAAAAAAAAACACAAAACCAAAAAAAGACACTGGCTCTCAGCCAGGCATGGTGGCTCACACCTATAATACCAGCATTTTGGGAGACTCAGTCGGGTAGACTGCTTGAGGCCAGGAGTTCAAGACCAGCCTGGACAATATGGCAAAACCCCACTTCTATGATAAATACAAAAATTAGCTGGGTGTGGTGGCCCGTGCCTTTAGTCCCAGCTACTCAGGAGGCTGGGGTTGGAGGATTGCTTGAGCCTCAGAGGCAGAGATTACAGTAAACCAAGATTGTGCCACTGCACTCCAGCCTGGGAAACAGAGTGCACTCCAACCTGGGCAACAGCCTGTCTCAAAAAAAAAAAAAAAAAGAAAAATACAGCCACCTCTCAGTAATCAAAATATAAGTAGACAGACTATACTCAGATAATTTAAGGCCAACTAAAACGAATATTTCTTTAAATCCAGAATCCATAAATACTGGGAAATATGGCTTTTATTCATCTAAATTCAGACTTTACTATGGAAAATAGTCTCTTCCCATACTGAAGAAAAAACAGGTTTTGAGATCAGGTTGGTTCCTCTCACTCTTTATTTCACCTCTGAAGAACACCCCAGCTGAGGCGGATGTGAGTGGTACCTGGGCAGTGGTGGTGGAAGCTCCACTACCTCTGGGATTAGGGGCACTGTTTCCAGAGTCTGTGAGGTCATGAGGATGTCATTTATGCTGTGCTCCTGTGGCTGGTTCTCCCCTCCAGGGAGTCTCTCCCCAGCCTCAGCTGGTTCCTGCCCAGCCTCAACCCCAGGCTCGCCTTCAGCACCTCGCTCCAGGCCTGGCTGTGAGAGTGCAGAGCTGTACATGGAATCCCCCAGGGGGCGGCTGGTATCAAAGCACTCAGGCAGGATGATGATGTAATCCTCTGAAGAAGCAGAGGATTGACTCTGAACTTCATCTTTGAGCTCATCCTCCTCCTCTTCCTCCTCCTCCTCCTCCACCACGACTTCTTCCTCAGCAATATGGACAATCTCCTCCCTCTCATTTCCAAGGGGTCCTTCTTCAGGCAAGGCAAATTTCACTAAAGGATGAAAGCAACCAATTTTCAGGTAGAAGCTAAAAGCAGCCCTAAGTACTATCCTTGCTTGGTAAAGCCCTGTGAAGCATGAGCTAGAATCATGAAAGCCAGAGGAAAGGGAAGAACTAGAGGGAAGGCCTGGTGCTGGAACCATGACCATATTCTAAGTTTGAAGGCTATGTGAAATGAATTAGAATCAAAGCTCACAGAAAGAAGGTAGGCAGAAACACCCAGGCTTCCAAGAAGCTCTATGAATCTTAAAAGGAGGTGGCTCCATCCCTCCCCTTTTCCTTTTCATGTGATGGTTAATATACTGAGGTAGAGTTAAACCAAAACTGATAATACTAGCTAACAGTGCTATAAAAAGAGAAAAAGTTAGGAGATCAGTATTGTAGGATTATATTCCTATTCTCCTCCTCTTCTTTACAAAGATGATGCAGTCATGGGAGAAAACTGGCAAATCATGGTTGAGAGGGTAAAAAAGGATATAAAAAAGCTACCCAGGCCAGGTGTGGTGCCTTATGGCTATAATCCCAGCACTCTGGGAGGCCAAGGCAGGCAGACTGCTTAAGCTCAGGAGTTTAGGACCAGCTTGGGCAACATGGCAAAATCCCATCTCTACAAACAATAAAAAAAGTTAGTGTGATGGCATGTGCCTGTGGTCCCAGCTCCTTGGGAGACCGAGGTGGGGAGAATCACTTGAGCCCAGGAGGTTGTGGCCGCAATGAGCCATGATCTTGCCACTTGCACTTCAGCCTGGGCATGAGAATGAGACCTTATCTTTAAAAAAAAAACACCCCTATGAATCCTATCAGAATAACAGCTGAGAACATATTGGTATTGTCTTTCCAGACCTTTTTGTTATGTACTTGTACACACGTGGAAAAAAAATATAAAGATATACATGTATACTTTAAGCAAAAGTGAGATAAATAATATTTAAAGATATAGGTCAAATTTCATTATAATAAAGAGATTCTCCATTATTATTCAGATGTACTACATTTGAATTTTTTGATACTTTTTAAAATATATACTTTGGTTTATCTATCTGTTATCTAGAAGTTTCTGTTATAAAGGTATTTACAGCGGAATTTAACCTTGAGAAACTTTGTTTGGTACTCCTGCTTCTTTCTACCCACTGTTTCTTCGACCGCTGCCCTTGGAGAAAGCAGACAACTCAGCTACCCGGGCCTCCAAGGAGCTCTCTCAAATTACAGGAAGATTCCTTACTGCAGAATCCAGGCAGCACAACTGGCTGCTGTTCCACTGTGGAATCTAGTTGTAATTCTGCCCCTGAGAAAATGGAGAAATGAGTATGGTGGCTTTTTTGCTCCTGATGTTCTAATTAGAACAGTCAGGTAGCATATGTAGAGTTTAAAGATACAAACAAGATCAGAATTTCTGACAAAGATCACTCTCCCTTCACTCTCAGTGAAGAAGAGCACATCTAACTAGTCAAGTCTGGCAGTCAGAACTCAGGTGGCAACCAGCTAGGTGGGGGAAATGCAAGGACACTCACTCTGCAAGGACTTCTGTCTGTAAGGAGGATTGTGATCTGGGGCAGCATCCAAGGTAAGGGATCGGATTACTGTCTCACACACAAACTGGGTCCCACTCAGGTCTTCTTCTGCTTCCTCCACAGAAGCAATGTTCTCAGCCTTCCTCTTTACTGACACCACAGAATCTGAAAGACACATAAACTTTGTCTGCACTTGATGTTTAAGGTGCTGAGGAACATTCACCAGTCATTACCCATGCTAAAACTAAATCAAGGAATAGCTGCTATCTGTATCATGTGAAGGTGAGGAGACTTCAAAACATGAGATGCTACAGAAAGAAAGGCCATTTACATGCTAAGGTAAGGGTAGTAGGGAATGGCTGTAAAACAGAGTATGGCAGGGAAAGGGAGGATGCAAATACTTTACAAATATTTAATCCCTTACCAGGAAGTGCTTTAAATCCTGCCCCTTCACTCTCTTCCTGTATCTGCCCCAAGCCTGGCTTCTCAATTAAAGGACCGTCATGTGGCAGAGGAGACATGCAGGGAGTCATATCTGGAGAATGAAGACAGGAGAGCCATCAATCAAGAGAAAGCATCATATCATCAATAGTCAGTGTCCAGAATTCGCAGTTTGTAGGCTTCTTGCCTCCTGCAGGGATAAAATAAACCCAGATATGCTTTGAGGTCTGTCAAAAACATTTCCCGACCAATAGGTATCCAAGTATCTCAGATCAATCAATGCAGGACAGTTATTTGGCCTGGAAAGCTGTGGCCAAGACACAAAACCATGAATACAAAGGAACAAAAGGATACAAATATCTACAGAAAAAAAAGAGGATCCCTTTATGGTGGAAAAGCCTTGCACAGACTTGTATTATTTGTTTTTTTTTTTTTGAGATGGGGTTTCACTCTGTCATCCAGGCTGGAGAGCAGTGGTTCAATCTTGGCTCACTGCAACCTCTGTCTCCTGGGCTCAAGTGATCCTCCCACCTCAATCTCCCCAGTAGCTGAGACCACAGGAGCAGGCCACCATGCCCAGCTAATTTTTTTTTTTTTTGAGATGAAGGTTTGCTCTTGTTGCTCAGGCTGGAATGCAATGGCACGATCCTGGCTTACGGCAACCTCCACCTTCCAGGTTCAAGTGATTTTCCTGTCTCAGCCTCCCGAATAGTTGGGATTACAGGCATGCACCACCATGCCTGGCTAATTTTGTATTTTCAGTAGAGACAGGGTTTTTCCATGTTGGTCAGGCTGGTCTCGAACCCCCAACCTCAGATGATCTGCCTGCTTTGGCCTCCCAAAGTGCTGGGATTACGGGCGTGAGTCACTGTGCCTGGCCATGCCCAGCTAATTTTTTTTTTTTTTAGTAGAGACGGGGTTTCATCATGTTGACCAGGGTGGTCTCGATCTCTTGACCTCGTGATCCACCCGCCTCGGCCTCCCAAAGTGCTGCGATTACAGGCTTGAGCCACCGCGCCCGGCCTAATTTTTAAAAATAATTTTTGTAGAGATGGGGGTTTTACCATGTTGCCCAGGCTGGTCTCAAACCCTGGTCTCAAGTGATCCACCCACCTTGGCCTCCCAAAGTGCTGAGATTATAGGGATGAGCCACTGTGCCTAGCATATTGTTGCTTTTGACAAAGGACAGGAAAGAAGGAACACGGATCCATGATTGCTGCTTTACTGTCCTACTGTGGGAGAAATCCTTTCCATGTCCTCAGAATAAAACACTACCAGTGTCTAGGCTATGGTACTTTTGTGCCTATCAGTAAGATGAACAAGATGAAATGAGTGACATTCTTACCCACAGGGGTGTTGTGGGGCACTCTCTCCAACTCTTGAACAATGTTTATATCCAACAGCTCAAAGGATAGCAGGTCCTATAAAAAAAGACAGGCAGTGTTAGGCTGTTTGCAGTGCAGCTGAAGCCATGTCTAGATGGGACCTGTAGACCATTTCCACATCGTCTGGGATTCAACTTTGTTCAAATTCATGCCTCTCCTCAGTCAAGTGAAAACAAGAAGAGTTAAATGGGAATTAGACATTGAAATAACCAAATGGCAGGAAAGAGAATATGCAGCAGGTGTGAAGGAGAATCAGGCCGAAGTGAAGAGGAAACTAATGGGAGTTTTTGGGGAAGTACAGGATTGAGTTCCCAATTCAAAGAGGAAAACATCTAGTTTACAAACTCGGTTCCATGGGTGATCTCCTTCCCATTAAATGCATCTGACTCGATCAAAGTGGGCATATCTCTGATTTCCTCATTACCACCTATGACTCTACCACCTTCTCCTCTCCTGTGCTCTCTCCCTCTGTCCCTTGCCCTTCAAAGTGCTGAATCTTCCACCTGGGCAGTCAGAAGATCCACAGATGGGATGTAGAGCTCCCTCTCACTGGCAACATTTTTTGCCTTCTGTGGGATGCAGGCTGCTGTCCCTTCTGTCTGCTCAGTCACTTCACCAAGCTGTATTTCTTCTTTAGCCAGAAGAAAAGCTTCCTATAGAGACAAACCATTGAGACAAATTTTAGGCCTTCAACAAAACTGAAGAGGCAGGCTGACAATGCCCCCAAATATAAAAATGCTGCTGTACCTCTATATTTAAAAAAAACTTTAGAAATGTTTTTGATACAATTTTACAGTTATAGAAAAGTTGCAAAAACAGCAGAGAGAATTCACATTCACCCAGCCTCCCCTAATGACAACTTACATTAACTATATTAGTGAAAACCAGAACATTAAAATTGGGTAACTTTAAGCAGTAAACACTCTGCCCCACTAATACAGAGATTTGTATTAAAAACTTGTGCACTGGGCCGGGCGCGGTGGCTCAAGCCTGTAATCCCAGCACTTTGGGAGGCCGAGGCGGGTGGATCACGAGGTCAAGAGATCGAGACCATCCTGGTCAACATGGTGAAACCCCGTCTCTACTAAAAATACAAAAAATTAGCTGGGCATGGTGGCGTGTGCCTGTAATCACAGCGACTCAGGAGGCTGAGGCAGGAGAATTGCCTGAACCCAGGAGACGGAGGTTGCAGTGAGCCGAGATCGCGCCATTGCACTCCAGCCTGGGTAGCAAGAGTGAAACTCCGTCTCAAAAAAAAACAAACAAACAAAAACAAACAAACAAACAAACAAAAACCTGTGCACTAAGTAGCAACCAGAACAAGACTTCATTAGTATTTAGGGAACATACACAGGGTATTTCAGGAGTCATGGATGTTAAGGAGTAAAGCTATCAGTTCAGCAGCTCCACAGGCCAGGCCAGGCCAGCCACCCCTCTTTCTCTTGTGCAGCCAACAGGGTGACCATGCAGCATTACAAAGAGGTACAAAAGTATTCAGGGACTGCCTGCAGCAAGACCCTAAAGACACTAAAACACCCTAAAGAAGAGGCCAAATATCAGCATAGACATGGGGGGAGGGGAGAAGCTAACCTTTCACGGTTTCTAGAAGAACTACCAGCTATGAGTGGGTTGTTTTAGTTTTAGCCACCTTCTTTCTATGATTGGGATACTGGGCCAAAGCCTACCAATCAATGCTCACCTCTTGCTGGCAAGTGAGATCATCAGCTTTGCTTGAGCTGATCATGTTCTTTTCAGTGTTATCAGGGCTCTCTTCGGAGGGGAAAGGATCCACTATGATACTGCACCAGACCCGAGGCCCAAATTGCTGGCCTTTGTGAGAAAGACGCCAATGGGAAGTATACGTTCCCTCCAAGGCTGGGGCAATGAACTCCACAGATACAACTCCCACATGACCAGCCTTGAGGCAGGGAACCAAAACATCCTTCTTTTCTGTGGAAGCCAAAGTCAGGTTTCCCCACATGAACTTGAGCTACAAAGAACAGTAATAAGAGAAAGCAAGCTTGTCAGCTGAGCACTCTGCCACTTCAAATCAGTTCATCTTCACATTTTGTGGGAAAAATTACCTTTGTGTCTGCACTCCACTTTACATTTCCTGTATTTTTCATCCTCCAGTGTTTGATAAACTTGGTTCCTGGCTGAAGGTGAGTCCCATCAGGCAAATTCTCATCTACAAATGCTGCACTGAGCGTTGGCATAACTGGGGTACAGGGCTGCAAAGGGAGCCTGAATAGAAATTCAGATGCTTAATCACTTGCCACTGGGTGTGAAGGCTTCTGAATATCCCACATTGGCTTGAGAGTCTGACTATGACTCTTGAAAATGTACTAACCCATTTGCCCTAAAAATAATACTAATATTAGTATAGGATCATGTATTAGAAACAATAAATTTTCTGACAAATTTAAAATAATAAAACAAAACAGAGGATAGGTCCGACTCCTGAGCTTAAAAAGTCATGGCAAGTATAATTAAAAGGGCCTATAAATACAACACCTAGAGAGTAAGGCTTTTTTTTTGAGCCAGAGTCTTGCCCTGTCGCCCAGGCTAGAGTGCAGTGGTGTGATCTCAGCTCACTGCGACTCCTATTACCCGTGTTCAAGAGATTCCCCAGGTTCAAGAGATGCCCGAGTAGCTGAGATTACAGGTGGGAGGCACCAAGCCTGGCTAATTTTTGTATTTTTAGTAGAGACGGGGTTTCAGCATCTTGGCCAGGCTGGTCTTGAACACCTGACCTCATGATCCACCCATCTTGACCTCCCAAAGCAATGGGATTACAGGCGTGAGCCACCATGCCCAGCGAGAGTCAGGCTTTTAAAACACTTGTTCCTTTTGCTTCAATTCCAGATTGCCTCCAATGAAGAGAGGGACCCCACCATTCTGAACTTTAGTGGTTTCTATCTTTCTGAAGGAAACAAAACAAGTGTCAAAAATAACTACCAAACCACCCTTTAATAATACTAAGACAGATAATGGGAAGTTTTAAGGATTTAAGTGTTATGGGGCTGCCAGTGAATAAGACAGAAGTTGGCTGAAGTTCCAGTTTCAGAGAGCTGGGCCTAAAGTTTTGGCTCCCACCCCAGCCCTGGGCTTACATCAGGGTATTAGGCTGGAGCAAGCTTTCAGGTCGGCCTAAAGGAGACTTGGGGCTCTGGAGTCCATGGATTGAATTCCATAGGTGAATTTTCCTATGGAGCTTAAGCTGCTTTTTAAGTTCTTTGACCTCTGCTTTACGTTGTTTCTTCTCAGCTCGCAACCTTTGCTTTTCTGCTTTAAGAAAGTTCTTATCAACCTGTTTCTGGAGCCTGTGAGATAATAAAAGCAAGTCTTAAAAGAAAGGCACAAATAAATTCTGAAGCTATGTGGAGCCAATTGCAATGTCCACCAGTGTCAGCTTTTAGTTTCTTTTATTGTTTTAGAGTCAGGGTCTCACTCAGTCATGCAGGCTGATATGAAGTGGTATAATTATGGCTCCCTTCCACCTCATATTCCTAGGCTCAAGTGATCTGCTCACCTCAGCCTCCCAAGTAGCTGAAACTATAGGTATGCACCACCATGCCTGTCTAATTAAAAAAAATTTTTTTAGAGGTGGGATCTTGCTATATTGCCTAGGCTGGTCTCAAATATTTGGCTTCAGGCAATCTCCCACCCTAGCCCCTCAAGTTGCTGAGATAACAGTTATGGGCCATTGTGCCCAACCTACTTCAGTTTCTTAATTTCTTTTTATAGTTCTTATTTCTATTTCATTAACTTTGGATAACTGTCTTCATTTCTGCACATCAACTGAAAATGAGTGGAACTAAGGAGATTATCTGTAGTTTTGTGATTCACACCTTGTCACCAGAACCAAGAAGTTAATCAGAGAATAAGCATCTCCATGTATAGGGTTTTACCTGACTTGTTCCAGAGCAGCAGGAAGACGAGGAGTAGAGTACTTTGAGTGAGAGAATGGTTCAGAGGAACTCACAACAGGTTTCCGTAACTTCAGCAGGACGTGGTTAGTGTCATGGCCATATGGCCCTGATTCACAATCTTCACAGATATTGTAGGATGGGCATAAGCTGTGGGGAAGGAATGGCACAGTACACAGTGGCATAACAGGAAGTACCCGGGGTAGGGAGGTATAAGACCAGACTTCTACATTTGCTCCAGGGCCAACTAGCTGGTTACCTGAACACGTCATTTAACTATGCCATGCCTCAATTTTCTTCATTAATAAAATTAGGATAACAACACTTAACTCATACCCATTTTAAATGAAAACCTAAGGGAGGAAAGTAAGATATGAAAGTATATGGGGCGAGGCACAGTGGCTCATGCCTGTAATCCCAGCACTTTGGGAGGCTCTGGAGAGGAGGATCACTTGAGTCCAGGAGTTTGAGACCAGCCTGGGCAACATAGGGAGACCCCATCTCTAAAAAAATAATTAAAAAAAATACTAGGCAGGCATGGTACCCTATGCCTGTGGTCCCAGCTACTTGGGAGGCTGAAGCGGGAGGACTGTCCAAGCCTGGGAGGGTGAGGCTGCAGTGAACTGTGATTGCACCCTGCACTGCAGCCTTGGGTGACTGAGTGAGACCCTGTCACCAAACAAATAAAAACAAAAAAAAAAGGCATTTGGAACAACTGAGCAACTACCCTTAGTGATCTAATTGTGTCTGTTCAGGGGAACAGAATTTTGCCTGGCTTTGCTAATCCAAATGCACATCTGAATTCAACAATCTGAATGGTTACAACCCACAAAGCATGTGGGTGAAGATAAGCCTGTGCTTCCAACTCACAGCTATGACATCTAATGCTCAGAAACAGGGTACAACCAATATCCCTTAACCTAATCAGAAAGCCAGGAAGGTAAATGCTCTTAGGTCTATCACTAGCTAGCTACTCCCAAGCAACTGCTTACCTACACTGGTAGCGGACGCCAACAATCCTTCTTTGGCAGTTGTTGCAAGCAATATGCCAGCTGAACTGGTTTTCTGGTAAAAACAATGTTTCCTCTGAAGTAGGAATTGAGACTTCTGAAGGACAAGAACCCAAGGATGGGTTCTGGAGGACAAGCTTCTCATGTAATTTCTGTTCAAGCTTCTCAACCGTTTCTTTAACCACTTGTTCTCTGAACTAGAATATGAAGCAGAAGGTGGGGAAAAAACTCAGTTCCAATACTGAAAAAAAGTGTGAAGGTATCAATAGATCTGAAACCTGTCTCTGGTGTAATACAAAAACACAATAAACAACTGCTACTGAATAGACATGAAACATAGCAAAAGGTCTATTCCTTCCACAGCTAAACTGGTTCAAAGAAAATATCAAAAATCCTTTTGATAAGTAAATTTCTAAGTTCTTCTCAAGCAGAAATTTGTCCCTCTCCCTTACATGCTTAGAATTAGACTCCCTCTTTTTCTGACACTTCACTGCAAAGGTTACAGCTTTCTTGACTGGAACTGCTGTAGGTTTGGAAATTATAAGCTACCACTCTTCACCTGTACCAGAGGCTGCACAGCAGCCATTTGGGTTTGGTTTTCTATTTCTTCCACATTCCACCTGTCCCAACACTGCAGTTAAAACCCAAGCCAGAGAGAACACTCACTGTCTCCAGGTAGCTTGTGAACCAGTCTGGGGGCTTGTCTTGAGGCTGGTCTGTGTCACATGAAGCAGGTGGAAACAACTGGGAGGAAACACAAGCCGAGATGTTGGAGGTTACTTTTTCTATTTAAAATACTTTGAGACAGTCTCATTCTGTCACCAGGCTGGAGTGCAATGGTGCGATCTCGGCTCACTGCAACTTCCGCCTCTCATGTTCAAGCGATTCTCCTGCCTCAGCCTCCCAAGTAGCTGGTACTACAGGTGCATGCCACCACACCCAGCTAATTTTTGTATATTTAGTAAAGACGGGGTTTCACCATGTTGGCCAGGATGGTCTCGATCTCTTGACCTTGTGATCCACCCACCTTAGCCTGCCAAGGTGCTAGGATTACAAGCATGAGCCACCATACCTGTCCTTAAAATACTTTTCCTGGAGTATATTATTTTGAGGTTTCTTTTGTGAAATCATCCAAACATATAGTTTAAAAAAAAAGTCACAGTATGAAGGTGTACTAAAGGAAAACACAGTCTCTAGCTCCCCCTGCTCCCCCTTCTCCAGAAGTAAACTACTGTTACCAGTTTTAAAAGTAGGAGACAGAGAGGAACACAATAATTCCCATCTCTCATAAACATGCAAATCTCACAACAAAGACGATGAGAAATAAATTTAGAAACTGGATAGACTGAAGCAAGCAATGGGGAAAGGATTCCCTATTTAACAAATGGTGTTGGGAAAACTGGCTAACCATATGCAGAAAAGTGAAACGACCCCTTCCTCACACCTTACACAACAATTAACTCAAGATGGATTAAAGACTTAAACTTAAGACCTAAAATCATAAAAACCCTAGAAGAAAACCTAAGCAATGCCATTCAGGACATAGGCATCTGGCAAAGACTTCATGACTAAAACACAAAAAACAATGGCAACAAAAGCCAAAATTGACAAATAGGATCTAATTAAACTAAAGAGCTTCTGTACACCAAAAGAAACTATCATCAGAGTGAACAGGTAACCTACAGAATGGGAGAAAACTTTTGCAATCTATCTGACAAAGGGCTAATATCTAGAATCTACAAGGAACTTAAATTTACAAGAAAAAAACAAGCCCATCAAACAGTGGGTGAAGATATGAACACTTTTCAAAAGAAGACATTTATGCGGCCAAAAAAACCTATGAAAAAAAGCTCATCATCACTGGTCATTAGAGAAATGCAAATCAAAACCACAGTGAGATACCATCTCACCCCAGTTAGAATGGTGATCATTAAAAAGACAGGAAACAGGCCAGGCATGGTGGCTCACGCCTGTAATCCCAGAACTTTGGGAGGCTGAGGCAGGAGGATCACTTGAGGTTGGTAGTTCGAGATCAGCCTGGCAAACATGGAGAAACTCATCTCTACTAAAAATATAAAAATTATCCAGGCATGGTGGCACATGCCTGTGATCCCAGCTACTCAGGAGTCTGAGGCAGGAGAACTGCTTGA